CTCTTACTGAGTCATTATATCAGAGCTTCAAAACTTTGGGTGAAAATCAGAAATGAAGGTTCTCTCTAACCAGCCACTAAATCGATATAATTAAAAGTACATACATAAAAATACATCAGCTTGTTCATAGCAAGACTGTGCTTCAGGTTTTTAAATTGGAATATCTCGCCCCTTTTTGTTTTACTTTGTTTTTTTACTCATTTCTGTCAGAAATTGAAATACCTTTGGGTTGCAGACATTTGAGGATGTCATCTTAGGTTTGGGAAACGCATGTTCTCCATAATTTTCTGGCTTTTATAGACCAAACAAGTAATCAATAATTGACAGATTAATTTTCACTGAAGGGCTGCAAGGTGGAACAGTTGGTTAGCACTGTTGCCTCGCAGCAAGAAGGTCACCGGGTCGCGTCCCGGTGGGGGCACCGGGATCTTTCTGCGTGGAGTCTCCATGTTCTCCCCGTGCAGTGTGGGTTCTCTCCGGGTTCTCCGGCTTCCTCCCACAGTCCAAAAACATGTTGAGGTTAATTGGTGATTCTAAATTGTCCGTAGGTGTGAATGTGAGTGTTCTTGGTTGTCTGTCTCTAAGTGTAGCCCTGTGATAGACTGGCGACCTGTCCAGGGTGTCCCCTGCCTTCACCCTAAGTCAGCTGGGATAGACTCCAGCCCCCCCGCGACCCTGATGAGGATTAAGCGGTGTATAGATAATGGATGGATGGATTTTCACTGAAAATAACTGTTAGTTGCTTTAAGAACTTTAGAAGAGGTTTAAGAACGTTTACAGTGTTTATTACCACTTTGGCCTGGTCTGAATTGTGAGCAAGAAGCTGCTTAAATATTCACCAGAACCTGGGTTTGCACCTCACTCACTGTTTTGTTGTGACACTGATGTTCATGAATGCTGTCTTATGTGAGTGAGAAACACCTGATTGCAGTTGAACAGTGCCACCATGAAGCTTTCGTCTAATCCACCTGTTTCGTCCATCGATATGTTGGTAACTGAGAAACTGTAGTTTTCCCAAACAGCAGACTTTAATGACAGTGGAAGGTCTTAAAACTCTGGTTGGTCTCCATTCACTATAACTACAAGGCTACACTGTGCAAATGGGCTGAACTAACAACATGCAGTCTTTATTAAAAGTGGGGAATGAAGAGTTTCATATTGACATGCAAGAAAGTTTAATTCATTTTGTACACTCATGAACTAAACTGTAATTTTTCATTACTAATACATGTACGGTCACATACTGAGGCATGCAATAATGTAAAGAGGGACTTTTATAAAGGTAAACAGTTGACATGGCACTACTCAAATGAGAGGCTGCAGATTTATCATCATGTGTCCTGCTGCATTCCTGCTGCAGGGATTTAATCAAATGAAGGATAAGCTTTTCATACAGTATAATGCAGCTGTGGCTAACAAATACTATAAGGATTATTCATATTCATTATACATTAATGCGGACGGAGCTACCGGCGTTCATGCTTTAACCTTATCGGTTAGTTTTGATGTCAATTTAAGTGCATCCATTGGCTGGGCAGTGATTTATTAAAATTGTAGTTTGCTCTTGCTGGAAAATCACCAAAGTTGGAACAGATTGATGTTGCAACAGATACAGAAATGAGTTTGAGATTTTTATTCTCAGAGTCAAGTCTAAGACACATATTTTTAAATATATTAATAAACTTACTTTACACTACCTCATTTCTTTCAGTGTTCAAACCTGTGCACTTTGCGCTTGGCACAAAAATACCACACAGATGCGCAAGCTGGTTTTAAGAATGCAAAACTGGCAGAGCACTTCTGGAGCTGGATGTTGCTAAACAAAGTTACTGAACTCTAAATCTGTCGAAGTATTCGCTACGCAGGGTTTGAGCCTGATAGTTTCATTTAGAATGAAGCCTCGCTGTAACAGTAAACATGCACAGTGGGTGCCTCCTTTGAATGTGAACTAGTAACAGCTGACAGAGACACTGGGGCAAACCAGAAACGGGACATCTCTCAGTTGGCCTGGATTTATGTCAGGGAGGGACCTGAAGGAAGTTAGTCAGAAGGAGGACTTGTGGACTGCCAGACCCAGATAAGAAACAGTGCTGCTGATGGGCTGGATATGGATGGTGCTACTGTATTCTATAGTCTTGCATTCATTGTAAACAAAATTTGCTGATGAAAAAAATCTAATTTTGGAGTCCAACTACATGTAGGTTTCACATTTGACATTATGTACTGCACAGACTGTACGTGGAAGGCTAAGGTTGCTAAACACACAGTGAACAGTGACTCCTACCAGTGGCAGTCCCTTCAATTTCATGTTGAATTGTCATTTCGAAGAGGTACCTTTTATTTTTAGGGACTGCAATTTTTGTGAAACCTCACCACATGTTTCCGCTTCACGTGAAACAAATGTTAGTCTCTGGCATCAGGAATTGTCACTCTTCCGACAACATTTTCTGCCTCGGCTATACCTGGGGGTTGGTAATCATAATTTCACATGACACGCAGAGGGAGGTGTTGTCCTCTTAATTAATGAAGCTGTCACTGTCATGTGCATTAATCACAGCTCACCCCTGACATCTGTCTCCAAGTGTCATGTCTGAGGAGCTAAACTGTGGCACTGACATTAGTCAAAACAACTAGCCTCCTGTGAAGCAGCTGTTCATCATTCAAAAAAGAAGAAAAAAAATAACCCATATAATCATGAAAATACAATTATGGCAATCTTAGGTATAATGACACCTAAGATATTTAAGTGCAGTGTCTTGGCAATAATGAACTGGCACAGATACTGGATTTCATGGCGTACTGGTATCAAATCCGACATGACAATGACATTTCCATTTGCCACAGCCATTCTTTGTACTCAGTGAGAAGCGTGCAAACATGCTAAAGGGGCTGACAACCTGTTGCACACCAGCATGCAAGTATTGTTCTTATGACTATGTTGTACAACAATGTGCAGTGCTGCTAATGCCATTTTCATCAATACAGAACAGGTTCCATTCTCATTATTCACCCCTTGTGTTCTGAGCCTACAGTTTTGCTACTTAAGTTAATCTTTTTATTATACTGTAATTATCTACGTTGTGTTGTTGGACCAACACACATGATTCACATGTTAATGAATCACCAGCCAGGACCGCTTGTACGTATTTAGATCATGATAAATGAAGTGCAATCACAGTATATATTTCTTATCTACCAGGGCGGAAAATGGGCCCTCATTAATGGATCTCATTCGTCCTTTCACACATAAACTCTGATGTCTGCAGCTGACCGACTCTACCACCTGAGGCTCAGCTTCTCCATAATCAGAGTAGAATGTTGAGGAATATAATGACAATACAAATCTGGTCATTTTGGATCGGGCTCTAAGACAAAAAGCTGCTTTGGCTTCAAGATTGCCAGTTCCACTCTCTCATTGCACCTGCCCTCCTGCTGGCACACAGCGAGACACTGAAATACAAAACAGATGCAGCCAAGGACAAAAACCTACCTACTGCCACTTGAGGAGAAACTGAGGTTGTGTATTTGGTCGTTCATTTCTGACTTTCCCCGTAGGCATGACAAGAACGGTGCATCACCTTGATTTAACGTAAGAAAGACGCTAAGCAAGGTCTGAAATAAGACTCCAACGACTCCCTTCTAGTCATTAACAAAGATCTCTCCCTTGTCTTTGTACTTCCTCTTTTTCTTTTACTCCCTCTCTCTTTCCCATCTCTGCCTCCCTGTTGCTTCACCTCACTGTCTTCATCTTCATCCATTATGGATGAGGCACGCTGAAGACAATGCGATTCGCTTTGGAAAATACCAAACGTTTGCCAGCGGTCATGTCTCAACGGAACACCTTTGCCAAATATACTCCTTCTGCAACTCTGCTGCTCTCAGGAGTGTCTCACTTTCCCCTTTACTGTTTCCTTTAACAGTGTTAGACACGGACACATACACCACACCCTGTAAACAGCGGTCAGGAATCATCTTACAAACAGTCACTTTAAAAAGGTCAAACAGAAAAGAGCAATCCTAACTTACTGTGCGTGATTTGTATGAGTGTGTGTGCGTGCATATGTGTGTATTTGTGGTGGAGGTTGTAGGGGGAGGAGGGCAAAGATGCAAACAGATTCTGACAAAAATAAATTGCTTGGCATTTAACAAGTTCATTCTAGCTGAAAACACAAAGCGTTACACATATCAGCAGATGCAGCACATGTTAGTCTTATCAGAAGTCTCTGCAAGTTAAACAATATCTCAAACACACACACACACACACACACACACACACACACGCTGTACCAGATGCTCAAACAATAATTACTTTTGTTCCATAAGATTTTAAATAGAATTCAAGGTCATCCAATCAAAGCAGTTCATTTCTCTCCAACATCTCATTAGCTTTTTCTATCAGCGATCTGACCTTTGCTTGGCGACACTGTTTATTATCACATTACTGTCTTCCGTGACAGGATGAGGAACACTAGCGCAGTATCCTAAACTGTGAAACACTTCTGATGACAAGAATAAAACATCGTTCAGCAAGTCCTAATGGCAGCTCTGAGATTGTTTAGATACAGCAAATTACTTTCTTTTTTTTTTTTACATAATGCTCTGTGTTGCGCAATATTGCACAATATGTGTGTATGACAGGGCTGACTGGCAATAGTGCACCTTTTGATCTTTGCAGTTTTCACACCCAGAAGAAATCAGAAAAGAGTCTATTTGGACTCTGAGATTGAATGAACACCTGCATTTTAAAGCATACTGACAAATCTTTCCTTTTCTGTAAAGAGTGGCGGCTCCACATTAAAGAAAAGGTCTCTAATAATAAGTTAAGAGAGAAAAAAATGTCGTACAAGCTGTTGATCATGCACCTTTAGCGAAGCATTTCAGATAAAATTAGACCAAATTTTTACCCATCCTAAAAAGTAGCAGACATTTGATTTCTCGTGTGTGTCTATTAGACTAATGTAAAATCAGTCAGCCACAGAATACATAAAAATCACAGTTTCTCAACATTTTATCCACATCTTTATTCATCAGTACATGGTCTTTACTTAACAGTGTAGTCAACAGCACATTAATACAAACCCCAACATTCCTGCTTGTCTTTGTGATGAGGTCCTCGATGATAATCACAATAACAAAGTCTTCCCTCAGCCTCAAGTTGGTGATGGCCATTTGGGGAGTGAAGTTATTATAGTTGTAAACAAGGAAATAATGTGTATCGTATTTACATATTAATCTATCTCTCCCAATATGGGTGCACTCAAACATTTCACTATTTTATTTCCTGTTGGCACCATTTATATGCTCAGTTTTAAAAGAAAGGCATCAATGACAAATTTGTAGCTGAACAGTAGTAAAATTCCCGTGTCAGCTGTAGCCACTTATTGGTTGCAACATTAAAACACACAGTATTGCGCAATCATTTGTGACACGATTTTGGCATCCGAAAAAACAATTTTTGCAGAACATAATTTTTCATATGGGAAGGCAACAAACGGGTGCATTAAATATGAAAAAAAAAACTGTAGCACTGTAAAATTTTGTATAGCAAAAATCTATTTCTTTAACAATATAAATGAAGCAATAGTCACATCAAACTTGTACAATAGTAGTATAGACCCTGTTTTGTTCATTCCTTCTTTTTATGTGAATAGCCCAGCTTTATGGTATGCAGGTCTCTTCACTGTATCAATAGATAAAAGTTACAACCAGCAACATAAGCAGGAACATGTAATTGGAGCGAATAATCCCACCTGCATTCAAACAAGACTGCAGCTTGTCTGTGGAGAAAAAGGTGCAGAGAGATTTTTACATTGTAGCGTCTCACAAAGGTTCGTTTCATCTTAGCTGACTCGTGTGTGTGTATATGCAAATGTACGTGTTCAGTTTCATTTATTTTTTCATCTTTTCCTGTCACTTTCAGTAAAATGAATCAAAAAATAGATATAAATATAACATGTTGCATGAGCAGCCTCATTTGAAACAACTCCCGCTATACGGTGTATGATTAAAGAGTAAGGGTCATTCTGGAGGTGTATGAGTATTATTCACCCTGTATGTGATTAGTGTTCAGTGAAGTGATGACTGACCCTCCTCTCCTCCCACTCAAGACCTCCAAAATGGTGGTAAAGCAGAGGGGGGAGCAAGCCAGGATACAGATCTCCTCCACAGGCTAAACAAGGCAAAACGCCTCCCCGGCAGAGTCTGACGCAATCCCTCCTACTACATATAACTATATACAGTTGTGTCTGTATGTGTGACTTGTGTAAGTGTGTGTGTGCATGTGTGCAGTTAACTCCAGGGGAGCCGAGGGGGAACTTGGCTCCTCTTAGTAGGACACGAGTTCCCTTGAAATCATGCCTTGTGAAATTTGAGTTTTTAAAAATTTTTCCCTGTCTTTATCATCATGGACCGTACGTAAAATTAGACTATGATTGATGTATGATTCATGCAGGAGGGCGATTCATGACTTTGATAAATACATGCTGTTCTTGTCGTCGCCATCACAGTAACGCAGTAATTTTGCTCACTTTGACTCAAAAATCAGAAAAAAAAAAAAACTTGTAAAAAACTATAAAGAAAGCAGAAGAATAAAGCTCCATGAACCCAGGCAGCAGAGGCATCGTTTCATCAATTTCCCTAATATTCATATCTTATTAATAGTAATAATGATAATTAAAAGCTAAATCAAGTGCTTTATAAATGTTGAATCGGTCATTTCTGAATAGGAAAAAGTGAAGAAAAGTGAGCTCTCCTCAAAGCCACAGAATAGTAGAACATTGTAAGCATGTGGATTTGTGTGTTTGTATGTAAGTGAAGGACATTGATATGTATAAAATGGTTTTGTTCACTGTTGAGCTGAATCTTGTGGGTGTGACTTCCAATGAAAGATTTCCATTGGCCGGTCATGATCAGAATAAGAGTTTGGCAACATTCACAGTTAGAACATGAAACAGGGAGTCCAAGGAGAGGACAGAACCGGGGTCTGTTTCAGAACGCAGGTTTAACAAACTCTGACTCTCGACCCTGAACTCTTGGGTTGATGAACCCTTTGAGTTTTTGGTTCCAGGACAGCTGATCAGAGTTGGTCCAATCAGCTGTGCTTATGTTCACTCAGAGTTTAGTGCACACGTAGGTAAAGAGAAAAGCCATCTTCAGTGGAGCTCTAATACTTATAATTCACCTTGGCAATGAGTAAACTAGATAGTTTTCCTGCAATAAAAATTGGTTTGAAGGCAGTGTTTAAAGTTATTCTAGGTTTTTTTTTTTCTTTATCGCAAACTTTTTCTGTTAAAGAGACAAAGTAACTTCATACATGGACAGACAGACAAAAACATGTTATGTAGGTGTTTGTGTGTCTAACCTGAGACGCTCTGCACTTGTGGAATGAATTTGCTCCACAGCTGACACTCTTTAGCTCTCATCATCCTCTTTTGTTCTGGATGTCTGTAGTTCAGAGTGACATACTCTTGGTTTTCATGGGTAAACGTAGGCCAGCTAACTCCATCAATCCCTGGATTCCTGATATAAAGAAATGAAAACAAAGGCAGTTCAATAACTTTCTTTAGGGGTTTCACACAGTTGGACAACTGATGGACGATGTGATGATGCGTACCCTGTCCGGGCAAAGTTGGCCCAGTGTTTCATAAACTTCTTGGTCATGTTAACTTCAGTCTTGGTGTATCCCAGGGAAACATTCAGAGGCATTCCAAAGACAAATTCTATCTCGTAGCCGTGCATAACGCCCATCCACTCTGGCCAAGGATTGACAGATGAGCGGTGGTCAAAGAAATACAGGAAAGTCTTCCTACCATTTTGTGAGTACCTGAAAGTGTTACCACAAAAAATGTTATTTTTTTTATTTTTTTTTGCATTGCAATGGTCAGTTTAATCATACATAATAAAACACAATAAATAGTACATTTACTGTAACAACCACAAGAAATAAATTTAAGATATTAAGATTGTTGGTATTTTTTTTGGCAATTGGCTGCACAACAGGGCATTGAGTAACACCCTCAATTATTTGAATGGGATGCTGAACAGATGTAGCAGTGGTGCCAAAGCACAATGCAATGTTGCAGCATCCAGCAAGATGCTGTGTTGGACAATACACACAAGAGCACATTACAAGTAGGTAACTGTTTTCCGTATGCTCACCCCAATAAACGATAAAAATTTAAAACAGTACTAACTTCCCAGAGTTTAACATTTTATCTCAGTACATATAAACCACTGTGAAGTCCAGTGTTATCATAAGCCTTTAACCTCATGGGTTACTCAAGCTGTATTTTTCTTTTCTCACCTGAGGATGTGAATTCATTTTTTTTCAACACAAGTCGTTTCCAATTTAAATGCCAGGTTAAAGACAGAAGTAAAATTTAATAGGATCTTCACTGTTAACTTTTGAGCTTATTTTCCTTCTGAACACACCCAATCATTAAAACTACAAATTCTTCTTTACCTCTCAGCAAAGTCCAGCACTGGACAGACGAACAGTCGGTCTCCAACCATGCTACCCACCGCGTCACGATTCTTCATCATGTCATTCTCATCTGCCCAGTCAGTGTACTGGAAAATGGCAGCTTGTCTTATGGTATCACTTGCATGACCCAATGCGAGCTGAACCCCTTTTAGGAAATCAGTCCTGCTGATGAGGCTCTGACCACTGAGGTTAAATCCAGGCATTCCATAAAGAAGGAAGAAGGTCCCTTCGTCCTTGTTTAAGCCAATCATCAACTCTTTCTTTGGAAGGGTTCCGCTACTTAGCAGCACCTGCAGGAGGGGAAAAAAAGACGGTGGTTTGGTGTTTGTGATGCAGGATGTTTTTCAAACTTAGAATTTAAAATTGCAACAATTCAACATATTAAGACACCAGTGTAGATACTTAACCAGCCAGTACATTTTTGATCATCTACAGGTTAAGTCATGTCTGCTACTACAGCTTACTTAGTGCATATACATACAGGTTTCAAGGTGTAAAACTGAGTAATTATAATGCTGTCAGGCCAGTCATTAGCCCAGCTATATACAGATAACAAAAAAATAGCTTTTGTGCAAAACATAGATTGGCTTTAACCGTGATGCCTGCTTGTCATTTTGCCGTCAAATCAGCAGAACTGTGCTCATTTTAAATTGACTCATTAGATGATTGACATGATAAAAAATATACTAAATCCTATGTATAAAACACACACACACAAAAGCAGCACCTGACTTCCCCAAACACTAATCCAAGCACATACACAAACACTAGACACCCACTTCAACTTTATCTGGTAGAAAGTCTCCATCAACATGAGGGACAAAGGGTAAGGCTAAGAGCTCAGGCTGTGTGAGAACATCGTATTGCTTCGTTGTGATTTTTTGAGGATCAGCCAACTGCAGACAATCTTCCAGAGCTGGATGAGATGTGGGACACCCCAGTAACTTGGCCAGCATCAGGGACCTAGGTATTGACAAAAAAAAAGAGCATGAAAATCTCTGAAATAAGGAATGAGCTGGAATTTGAGGGAGAAAGGTGAACACTAATGAAGATAAATAAGAAACAGTGTGAAAAGGATGAGCACATAAAGAATGTGAAAGAACAATTTTAACCAGATAAGAGGTAAAAGAGAAGAGGATGGATGATAGAAAGAGCAAGGACAATACAGCAGGGCATTTCATTGAGAAAAAAAAGTTGATTAATCTACATTAAAACTTCCTAAAGGACCCTGTTTTTTCTTTTCTTTCTTTTTTTTTTTGACGTCCTATAAATGTATTATTTCACACAGCCTTACTGCTGTAGAGCTACCTTGAAGGATTATTCGGGTTTTGTCTTGTTTTTTTTTTTCATCCTGGGATATTTCCCATTAATGTAGCCGTTATGACTCTATCAGTCATGCTTCAAAGTAAAACTGTCGACCTTTGTTGTAGAGATTTAGGAAAACAAAGACTTGCACAAAACAATGTATATGGAGGCGACAAACCTGAGCTCCCCGCAGCTTCACAAAAAGCAGGTTTTTCACACAAAACATTTTAAATGTTGGTATTGGAATCTAACTGAAACTAAACCCTGGAATTAGATACCTGGAACACCCATTTTACTAACTGCATTAGGGATCTCCATCAGGGAAAACTTACACTCACTGGTATATTCATCCACGTATGCTGGTTTGTTTACATGTGTGGGACAGACTTCCCAGAAATGTAACAGCTAAATGTAATGGCAGATTACCCCATGGACAATTATGAGGACAATTACAAGTCATTTCAGCCTGATGGTTGGCTCTATTCACTCGAATCAGTGTGTACAGACAAGGGGCTAAATCAATTGGAAGACAAGACACAGAGGACGGAGGTAAAGGCAGACAACAACAGGACCTTTCTGAAAGACAGCACATTTCAGGAAACAGATGGTGTTCCTGCCATCACTGAAGTCAATGAAGAGGAAAACTTTTGCCTTACAGAGCAAGACCTTTTGATGCTATGCTTGGAAAATCTCGTTTGCCCATAGATGGATATACACCCATTTCTCTAACCACAACAAATACATTTACTGCTTTGACAAACATTTCCGTCCTAGAGATGGGGCTTTGGACCTTCACCAAATCGTCAGCTCTCCACACATTAGGCAATAACTGTCACAGCAAGTAAAGAACTTTTTTTTTTTTTTTTTTGCTGAATATTGTGTTTGCTACCACCTCTTACCACGTTAAACAAAAAGTTATACAAACCTTCACACATGTAAACAAGCTGGCGAGTTCATGATCTATTAAGTCTGTTGCTGAATATCAACAAATGGAGTAAGCAAAATGTCTAAGCGGCATGTTTTTACTTTCATGTAACAATCCCGTTTGTTATGACAAAGCTGCAGTGCAAATTCTCATTTCCCTAAATCTCTACAACGGAAATTAAAAGTGAAATGTTAGCATGACTCATAAAGTCATAATGGCCACAATAAGGGGAGATATGCCTTAAAATGCTGTTTGAGAAACTCCAACTGGACTGTCATACACCTGTTAGACAGAGTGGCTTCCATTTAGTTGGATGACATGCTGATGAGATGGTTCTCCCATCTTCCCAGAGAACCTCTGAAGTGATTGTTTGGTTCTTGGTCATCTCCCTGACAAAAGGCCGACATGCCCGGTCACTCATTTTGGCCGGACGACTAATTCTATGAAGAAATGTGGTGATTTCCAACTCTTTCCGCTTCACAGTTATAGAAGCCACAGTGCAAGTCACTTTTCTCTTGCATGGGATTGATAAACATGTTAGGTTTCATCCTCTGGAGATCATCAATGTGTGTGTTCAATTTCAAGGCAATCTACTTAATAGCTGTTGAAATATGTCAAGCTGAATCTAGATTGAATACATTTACATGTAAATATGTGAAGACTTGAGGCAAAAAATACATAGACAGACACTACCTGTCCCAGGCTTCAGTCTGGCTGATTGTGGACCAGGGTGCATTGGGAGAGCCACTCTGCATTACAGCCCTTTGGAAATAACTGTGGCTGCCTGGGGAGAGCAGCTGGAAGCCCACAGATCCTGATCCTGCACTCTCCCCAAACAGAGTCACCTGGAAACATCGACAAATCATAATACAGAAGCTTGTTTTATCTTTCAAACCATAACTGATTTCAGAATAATAGACAAAAAAAACCAAAAACATTTACCTTTGAAGGATCACCTCCAAAAGCAGCAATATTATTGGCTACCCATTTGAGGGCCAAGCGCTGATCCAGCAGGCCTACATTTCCCTTGATGTTTTTGTTGTCAGGAAGAGACAGGAAGCCAAAAGCTCCCACTCTGTAATTGATGACCACAAGAATGAGGAAAGATGTTGACACCATTTAAGTGAAGATAAATTCCACATTCACTCATTCTCATTGATAACACAGTACACTAAATAAGTACTGAAAACAGTTTCCATTATATGCTCCAATATATTTACCTTGCTGCTAATCATCATAGAGTTTCCAGTTACAAATACTACACATACATACTCACTCTTTGTATTTTGTGTATTCTGCTTGTACTACTTCTTACCTGTAATTCATTGATACCACAACAACACCTTCAGATCTACTCAGGAAGTGGCCTCCATAAAGGTCCAGGGATGATGTTCCGGCATTGTACCCACCTCCATAGATCCAGACAAGGACGGCCACTGGGGAGGTCTGGGTTTTGTTGAAACGTGGTGACCAGACATTTAGGTACAGACAGTCCTCACTCAAAGGAGTGTTTGGGTTCCACATCTCTGAACCCTGGAACCCTGGAAAGAAGAATGACATAGTAATGCAATTTGAATAGAGACTTGGGACTTCATTCTAAAGCAGCTGATAGATACTGCTGTCTTTGTTCCTTCAAAGCTTTATTGACGTTTAACTCATTACAGCATGTTACACAAAAAAACCCCAAAAAACAAAAACGAACTAGGTTAGATAGCAACTAAAGTAGCGGTTACATTTCAGTAACTTATATGCTAATTTGTGGCAAATGATCCACAATCAGCCAGCCTGACAAACAGAGCCAATAACTGTATCTGTGGTTTCCTTGCGTTTTCGTGAGCACTGCTCTGCCCAAGGCACAAACAGCTGTTTAATATCAATGCCTTGCATGCATATCTATTTGTGGTGTCATATTTAGATCAGGAGTATGTTTAGGTATTTTACATATGCCTGGCACTGGTCATAGCTGGCTTCCAGCAATCTCTAACAGGTGGCTGTGTCTATAAATAGTTATATATCCATAACCAGCCTCCATCTGCTAAGTGAGAAGAGAGGCTGTTAATGAATTTGACTTGGTTGTCTGTGTGCTTACGAATGTAAACAAATATACGTTTTTTGTTATCTTAACTGATAGATTTTATTTTCTTATGATTCATGTACAAAATTTGTTGCAGTCCACAAGACAGTGCTAAGTCTGTCAGTCACAAACACTGGGTGTGTATGCGCGTATGAGCGTGTGTGTGTGTGTGTGTGATATGTGTGACACAGTGTTATATAACTGCCAACCCTTGACCAGAGTTTGAAACTGGAGTTGCAGCTTTGGTTTTGCTTTAAATTTCAACTTAAAGAGGCAGTCCTTTGACTTTGTACATGCGGATCAGTTTCCTCGTCATGTTTAAACCTATTCAGTCTGTGAAAGGGGAAAGTTGTAAAATGTTTTGTGTGACTCTGGAGGAGCTTTGACAAGTGTGATGGAAGCACTCCTAATGACAATAAAGTAATGTCATTCGTTTCATCTGCGGTTGGGCTTGTAGATTTGAGTTTTGTACCAAAAGCCTGCGTTATAAAAACTGGGTGAACATTTTTTTAAAATGTGGCCATTTACCAGGCAGGGTTGGGGCAATGATGAGATCCTGTAGTTGTATCATGGTAAATGACCAGAAGGGACTAAAAAACAGAATATTAGGGGAGATCAAGGCAATTTTGACCTGATCAGTATTAGCTTGAACCCAATCCTCTGTTTATGTCCACTGTTGTCACAAATGTAATAATATCCCAATAAATTCAGCCTTTCCATTTACATTTAGTAACTGAATTTAGTACACTTGACAGTTATGCTGATACTGTCATTTTAGGTCGCAGACGCAATATACAGGCTGAAAGGCAACTATCACTTACATCACTGGACTGCAGAGATGCTTTTCTAATTGACCCTTGCTTGATTTAACAAATGTGCACTAGCTGGGGGTCATTTAGCATCACGAAAGACTTTGTTATGGTGGAGCTTTAGAGCCAAACCTCCCACAATGCTCAGTATATACAGTTAATACAATGCTAAACAGCAAGTGGCTCCACCTGGTGGCAACAACAACTAGGTACTACAGCTCGTCTGTAATATTTAAATTGTGTATTACCTTAGATTATAGTATCTTTATTGGGAGTGCATATCAGCAGGCGCTAAATATAACATGACTCAAATCAGATTGGACAAACATTATCATCCTGGAGATTTGAAAAAAAAAAAAAAACCTTGATCAGGACCTCTCTACAGAATATCTTTGTGTCCTCTGCTTCAGTTTCATTTAGTCTTAATCTTTCTCTTTCTTAATGTTCTCAAAATTCAAAGGGGAAATACTTTTATGGACATGTACATTAAACAACACTATAAAGAAATGCTACACCTTGTGTGTTGTGATAAATGCTGTCTCGCTGACACCTAAAGAAAAAAATAAGTCAGTGACACTGGTCATGGCAAGGCTGGTGCTGCCTTTAAATACACGTATAATCAATTTATAATCTTTTTTTCTGTTTAATAACTTACAGGCAGGGTCAGCAGAAACGACACTCATATGTACGTATAGTTTGTGTGTGAATGCATCCGTATGCATGTTGGCAGAATGTTTTACAGTACACGTACGCACTCTGTCCATGTGTGTAAACGTGGGTCATACCTGGGAAGAATGTATCGAACACCTGGTAGCAAGAATTTGAGAATTTGGTAGCATCCTTCACACCTTGCCATGTCTCCACTGGCTGTGGAGCTCTGAATCTCAGTTTTCCAAGAGGTGGTTTTCCAAACGGTATTCCCAGAAATGCTCGAACTTCACCACCTAATACTGAAAGCATCTTCCCTTGAACTTTCCCATGCTTAGTACTGATTACGAGTTCATCTTGTGCAAATGACACAGCCAGGAAAGTAAACAACAGAAGAAGAGCAAAGTGCGTACACTGAGAGATGGTCGCCATGAAAAAAACCTACGGAGAGAAAAAAAAAAAAAATGCACACACCGAAACGTTATCGTTATTATATATATTAAAATGTAGTCACAGATTCAAGCATCATTAAGCAAATAATAACAAAAAGATAACTGATCTTGCTAGCACACCACACATGGCCTTAACTCTATTGTATCATACAAACCTTTTGCATTTTGAAGGTTTTTTCAGTGCAGTGCTGTGAGTTATGAGACCTTCAGTTCTCTTTAGCCATTTAACTGCACTTTTGGGATTGTGCTATGAATTTTGGGAACTTAGGTAAAGAATATTAACATTTACATGATATTAGCGACTCAGTGTAGGGTGCTGTCTGAAAGTAATAAAGTCATAAATAGCAGATTTATGACATTAACCATGTCCTTTGTTTAGAGTTCATGGGAGTTGGGTTCAAAGATCAGAGACCAGGATTAAATAGAATTGCTTTTTACTGCACAAGGCATAGTCCGAGTTTAAATAATGTGTCATTAGATAAAGACTCAATCAGGGCATTGTAGAAAGTCCATAAAGTCGCTCTGTTTGGGCCACCACAAACTGCATTCACGCCACACCTTGGCAAAAGGTGTGTGTCCCTGTGTGTGAGACACAGAGAGACTAAGAGAGAGAGAGAGAGAGAGAGAGAGAGACTCCCGCTGCCACTGTGTCACTTTAGCAGCGCCTATAATCCCCAAATATTTGCAAACACCGAGGCCGGTGGCGAATATGAAGATGCAAGAAAGTGCAGCTGATCCGTGAAGCCGCGTCACTTTGAAAAGGCGCACAGTAAACAAAGCGCAAGGAGCCCGCAGAGGTAAAACCGCGCACAGCTGGGTCGATGCGCGCATTGGGGAGATACGCGCTCACGCAGAGATTTACACAAAATACTTCAAAAATGAAATCTCACAAGCTCTAGTTTACAAAAGAAGAAAAAGAGGAGGGGGGGGAAAGCCTTGATGATTTCTTACCTTGTCAGCAGTTTGTGTGTGTGTGTGTCTGGAGTGAATGAGGACACGGGACTGATGGGATGAGGAAGGCGTGGACACCCTCTGCCCAGCGCTGACTGGGCTGGCCCAGTCCACCACCCACGACTACTGCTGCTGCTACAAGTACACTGGCCCTAACGTTAGCAACACAACAACAACAACAAAAAAAGTAACTAATAATAATAATAATAATAATAATAATAATAATAATAATAATAATAATAGGATGTTATATTGTGACTTCAAAATAACAAAAATACTAAAATTAAATAAAATGTAAAAAAATTAATAAAGAAAAGAAAAAGTAACATATGACAAAAGACATTTATTTAGAAACATTTTAGTGTGAGGTAATGATACACAACCAGTGACAAAGCATTTATAAAGTGCTTGGCAAGTTCATTTAGTAACATTTTTCTTGGGGTAGTGATGTTGGCACTAATCTCAAAAAAATAAATCAAGTGGAGCTCAATGCAAACCAGTAACAAAGCATTTTTAAAGTGCCTGGAACATTTTTTTTAGTGACATTTTTCCAACGGCAGTGATATTGGCACTAATATAAAAACTAAATCAAAGGGCACGTGGTTCTTCAACCTCAAGCAGAGGCACAGGGTGGACATATTGAACATCCAAGGAAGTGACCAAATATGGTCAATTGCCCCATAAAGGGTTAAAGTCAATGTTCTTCTGAAAAATGACCCTTGCGACCCACATATTAGCCCATTGTGTGAGACTTTATGAGATTAACATGGAGTTATTTTAGTGTACAAGAGTACTGTTGATGTAGAACTAGCATTTTTATATGCGGCTTGACGGTTAAGTCCAAGGATTCCTGTGGGTGGCTGCCCTCCAAAGAATCCTAAGATAAATCAGTCTGGTTATGATAAAATTGCTTGGAACAACTATGTGATAGGCATTCTTTATATATATGTGTGTGTGTGTGTATATATATTATTTATTTATTTATTTATTTGAAATAATGCATTTTTTCTCTTTGCACTTTCAAGAGGAAGAATGTCTTGCTAGTGGAACCAGAAAACAAGGGCCTAACTCACATTTTGGGGCAAATCTGTATAATAGAAAGCCATCCCTGTCCACAAAAACTCAAATGTTTGAACCAATCAATCAAAGAAAAAGAGGAAAGCTTCGAGCTGGTGTACTGTTGCTGCAGGACAAAGAGTCGGTCCACACACAACAGGTGGCAGAAGCAGCCAAATGTGGCTTTGAAGTGTTGCCCCATGCACCTTACTCATTGAACCGGCACCATCTCACTTCTATGTGTTTCCCAAACTGAAATCATGCTTGCGTGGTCTTCATTTTCACAGTGATGATGAAGTCATGTTGAGGAGAATCTGGAGGCTTAACATGTGACCTTGTTCTTTGTTGTTGGGGAACTATTCATGTTAGCAGAGTAACTTTCAAGTAGCACAGCGTAATTATTGAAGAATAAGCCTAAGGGTCAAAAAGCTTAAGGTTTAAGGCTAACCAGAGGAGATATGTTTGGTCTTTGGAAAGATGGACTCACTATTTCTTGCAGGGTATGGAAAACGGCACCATAAAGTTATATATATATGTATATATATATATATATATATTTACAACGAGCCCCAAGGAAAAGAATTGTTATTCACTATAAATGTTGAATTGTACTTCTTCTTTGGGGGAGAGAGGAGTGAGGTCTTTTCCCTCGTGTTGAGTAAGATCTGTTCCACATTGCAAAGCTGCACTTTCATTCTCCATGTTATGAACAGTATTAAATTTACTGACAACCCAGCAGTGTGTTTGTTATCTTATTCAAGGGTACAGTCGAGGTGTAAAATATCCCTGACATGTTGCATAAATGTAAGAGGTAAATGATGTGTGGAGCATATACTATTTAAATTGAACCAAAGTTGCTGAGGGTTCACTGTCTCTCTTAAGGTAAAGTTAGCAGGGCATACAGACGTTCTTTCTGATCTCCAACAATAATCAATATATTTTTTTAAAAATGCATAATTAGAAACAGGAGTGCACTTTGCATCAAGTACAGAGATGAATGTATAGAGCTTACTCCCAATGAATGACTTTCTGTTGTCTAATGTTGAGTTTCCACTGGTCGCTCATTTGCCTGTAATTGATAACCTGAAAATCCCGGGTGCTAAACCTGACTCGGAGGAAAATACAGGATTAGTAACTGCTATAACAGACACAGATTATTTTTTTCATGATCCCCACAGAAAAAGAAGCTGGTTTGATATCTTAATGCAGGGTCCAGTTAATACTCATTATACCACTTCCTGTGTCTGTCCCTTGTTTATTTCTCACAGTTCTGCTTAGTCTGTCTCTGCCCCCCCCCCCCTCTGTTTTTTGACATCTTTGCTTTCCTCTTCCATGTATCCGGAGGCCAAAGCTGGAGAGAAAAGTAAACTTCTTTGGAATTTTTAGTGCTGTGTGTGAGCGTATGGGTTTGTGTATGCAGCCCGTTTGCGTGCCTGTGCCTGTGTGTACTTGTGCATGTATTTATGTTATTTATAGCATGTTATGTGCAATTGGATTAACAATAAAGAAAGCCTTACGGGGGACTCTGATGCAATGTCTTGGCACAATAGACTCAGGCACAGAAACAGGCCTCGGTCTGTATATATCATCCCAATTAATAATGCGTTCACTATCACGGTTCATACTGTACTGAAGTAAATTTAGATGTGGAAACATGTAACCCTGTTCCCGAGGCAAGATTTTTTTTCCCCCTTTCCTGTCTCTCTGTCAGTCTACTTCTCTCTTACAGTCTTTTGCTCTTTCAGTACGCCGTCCCGCTGTAACCCTGGACATCAACTCAGGAGAAAGGGAGCCATAGGAGGTCTGGCTCTTTAGAGTCATGTACAGCTCGGTGGGGTGGCTGGATAGATGCACAGACAGAGGTGGGAAGAGAGAGACAGAGCGATGGGGCGAGAGGAAGCAAACAGTTTGTTTGAGAAGCAAGACGACAAGCCTTCGCCACAACCGCACACCAACAGGGATTAGGCGGTTAAAGGAAGAAATGACAGGCATTTGATATAGGAGCCTTTGAGAGAATGTTTTCTCCCTCTCATTCCGACATCATCAAAATAGACTGGAATGCAAACCCCCAAACACACGAGTTAATTTCACCCGTGGTCGTTTAATGTCAATCAGCTGTTATGAAGGCAGGGATAAGCAGTTAAAAAAATTAAAAAGAAAAGGGGGGGAAAAAAAACAAACATTTAATTCATTTCTGTGTGTAAGCTCGGAGCAAAGAGATAGTAAATATCCAATCATGGTGTCACAGAGAAGGATATTGGTTTATGTCATGCTCTTTCTGCCCGTCTATATTTCATTTGAATGCGAGTTGTGGGTGTGTGTGTGCGTGCACATGTGTGTATGCAAATGTTTGAAGCCTTTGAGGCACTTAATTTATCATATATGAATATGGATGCATAAACAGTATAATACATTTCAGACATGTATAGTGTTAAATAGTGGTAACCTTCTTGATTTTCAGTGATGGAAATAATAAAGGGAAACAGGGAAGTCTACTTGTTCAAAAAACATAAGGAAAGGAAGGGATTTAATTCAACATCACTTGACTTCCTTAATCAGCACCGCCATCCTCCTCTGATTTATAACACGGAAAAATCAGTCACAATGCACGGTGCATACAAATGTACACATTACAGGTGCGTGTGAATGCACATTTACACATATACTAACATGCTCAGACACCAGACTAATCAGGGAAAGGTCTGGCTTCCTATAACCTTCACAGGTAATAGAGAGTGCTTGTCCTTCACTGACATAAGCCCCCCTAATTGGTAGAACAGTGACAGATAGCGAACAGGGAGGGAGACAGCGGGCTTAGGTTGAGGGGTGTTACTTAAAAGCTGGTGAACTGAGAAGCAGATGGAGGAGGGTAATGAATGTGAGACATCTGGTTAACAGGTTTCACAACACACCACTCTAACTAAATAACTCAGTAAAGGGAGTGGGGAATGGAGACTGACAAGGTCAAGTGGGACAGAGCGGGACTAACAGTGTATCCATATTACTATCTCCCTGCTGGCACTCCCCTATCTATCCTCTGTTGTTTTGGGTGGCCTTCAAGTATCGGTTACAGTGCAGTAGATGGGCCCAGAACGCTGCAAACACCTTGTTTACACCAACCAGGCAGCAGACACAGCACGTCAACGGCAGCCCTGTTTTCCTCACTGAGCTACAGTACCCCTGTCAGAATGGACATGAAGACCTAAAATTATTTTGAAAGCCAAAGCAACACAACTGAAGCATGTGAAAAACACGAGCCGTCAGCGTTTGAGACAGACAAGTGAAAGATGGAATTGAAACACATCCATTTTAGACACGCTGTTACTCAAAGCATTTAAACGTCACTGTCTTGGATTTTCAAACTTCTCTTTTCTTTTAGGTATACTGTGACTTGTCAACACAATAAAACACTGTGAAAAGAAAAGAAGACTGCTCCAGTTCAGTTCAAAAGTATTGGACTTAGACCGGGAGGCTGGTAGAGGAAAGAACTCTAATTGGGTCATCTGAATTCCTGACAGCCGACCCTCTCAGCTCCAGGTTCAGCAGCCAGTGTTTGCATTTACAGTATTAAACGATGACTCCTCTTTATCATTGTTTACCAAAAACTACAATCATAACTGACAAGAGAAGAAATTACAAATAGAAGAAACAGCATTAAAAATGACAGGAAAGAAATGAAATGAATTTGTATAACAAAATGTGACTATCTGAAATACATAATATGGTTAATTTCATGCATGAGGCAAGCGAAATTGTGAAAGGTTGTCTGCTTAGTGACAGATGGGAAGCTGATCTTTCAAAACTTGGAGATGAAAAAAAAAAAAATGTTACGATTTGTTAAATTAATGAGCAAAAATATGTAGCACAAATTGACAACATTCAAATTCAGTTTCTGGATATCATCCCGTGTAAGGCTAGTTAGAGAAAGTACATAACACCTGGATACGTTTGCCAATACGACCCAAGCTATTAACTCTCGCTGGATTCTTAACCAAGCTCCTTATTGTGGAAATCTGCTA